ACAGAACTGTTTGAAATCCACTGGTACAATTGTCAAATCAATTATTCATTCTCTGCAATTATGCTCGCACAAAGAACATTTTGCTGGTCTGAATGATGATTAAATTAACAGCTATTCCAGCTGCCTGATAACATCTAATAGAATATTCATAAGCCCAAAATGGAATGAATTATCTCCATTAACTTCATCATGCTCACTTAATTACATGCTTGTTATTGTATTTACACCTTGTTAGATACCGCTGAAGCTGATCCAGTGGCTGGCCGGGAATTGGAAGCGTCTGTCATGGGGCAGTTGGAGCGCGTTTTGTAGGAAATGCTATTTATTTTAAATGCTCCACCTGCTGGGAGCCGAGGTTAGTCAGCAGCACTGAGATGAATTGGGAAACGGGGTGTAAAAAGAAATAATGTGCTTCTGACAGGCTCCGTGGCTTTTAAGTTGCTCTCATTCAGCCACTTCACAAAAAATTATTTTATTCCATCTCTCAGTGATGATGACATGATTGCTTTTGGGTAATCATTTACCATTCTGATTTTATTTTTTGAAGTAAATTGTCTGAAGTAATAGGTTCTTGGAATTACAGCGTGCCTTGCTTTTTTCTTAGAACTTTATTTAAGCTTGTCTTCCAGCATTTAACCCGAGTCCCCTCTTTCGTTTGATCTTCTAACTTTATTTATACAACAGTGCTTAATGATCCTGCACAATGTGTTTTTTTCCCTCTCTGCACCCCCCCCCAAAAAAAAAAATTTCTGTCCAGTGTGGTTGACAGTACTTTTTATAACCTCAGCAAGGGGGCTGCATGGGCAATTTTCTTCCGACATGACAAATACAAACACCCAAAACCCAACCCTGATAGAATCACTTCATCCAGTTGAAAGGAAATTTTTGATCTCTTTCAAGGTGACTCTTTCTCCACTGAAACCTGGTAAGGGGCACGACTCTCCCCTTCTATTTTTGCTCTAGACGTGGCATTCTTTACATCATTTCACCCTGTCTCCTCCCTTCTCCCATCGCCCTCTGCTCTTCCCCAAACTTCCACTGACCAGCCCTTCCTGGTGGTGGGGCCCCAGCACCTCCATTTGCTTGGAGTGTGAGGGTCACCGTTCACCATCCCCAGGCTGCAGGAAGCCTGTGTTTACTGAACATGAACCAGACCAATGGTGGAGAGAATTATAATCACACTTCTAAATACTTGTCAGATCAGCCTAGTAGAGCACTTGAGCTAAACCATGGATATTTTATTCTGTTTGAAGGCTGTATTTTGGTATCAACAAAAAAGAAGAGAAAAAGAAAGCTGAAGATAATTATTTATAAGTAGGAATGAAGCTGGATAGCGGACTAACAGAGAGACTCTTCAGCCTTCAGAAATATTTTAGCATCGAAGATGTGATTTGATGGGCGAGAATGGGCCTCTAGGCCCTGGTTAGTCGACAAACGCCTTCGTAAGCGACTGTGTGCCTGGCACTGTGCCTTGTGAAATTTTTTCTAAGCTCGAATTGAATGGAAGATGATTTTTTTTTTTATTTCTTATTTCGACTGAGAATTGTCTATGTACTTGTCATTTGTTTGGGGGCCTAAAATGTGTCTTTGAAACACGGATGTCACTTGAGATCTTCAGCTGCTGTGTAGCCCCGACTAGGTTACTGATTGATATTCAGAGGCAAGCCAGCCAGGCCAGCGACTCCAACAGCTCTCTATAGGTTGGACGGTTTGAAGTCGGAGAGAGGTTTTCTTTCAAAATTCCTAAAGCTTCCTGCATCCCGCCCCTTAAGGCACAGCTCTTGTTGCATTGAGGGAGGGAGGCTATGATTTAGAAAAGGAGGGAAAGCTGAGAACTGTATGGTGGGAAGCCATGCAATTAAAAAACTGACTGAAATTATTACCTGATTTCATAATTGACAGAATATTTAATTCAGATATAGTAAATTGACACACCTCTACACAGAGACAATTATGACTGACTGTATAACACCTGACAGAATCAATTATAACTGACTGTTGTTTGATACCTTTGCATGGAAATAAATGAAACAGACGTTCAGAACAGAGACGGCTGCTGCCTGTGTGCCTAAGCCTGCCTTAATTAAAATAAAATAACCACTAGGTGATGTTAAAATGTCTTTGCCTCGTGGTTTCTGGTGTGTTTCTTTAAGTCCAAAAAGAACCTTACAGAGTACAGATGAAAAAAGATCTTTGGTATACTGGCACCGAAATAAAATATCTGAAGTAGAGATGGTTTCCTTGGATAGGAGAACATTCCAGCTTTTCCAAACACTTCTCACTTTTTTTTAAATCATTTGACGTTTACATAAATACCGACAAGCTCAACACCGCAGATGATGGTCTAGTTCATGCTGTATAGAAAATAACTGCAACTTGCGTGATTTTGAGGTCTTAGACTCTAATCAGGAGAAACTTTTAAGTTAGCAGTTTATTTTGTTGCCTATTAAAATATTGCATGAATAAGCAATATCTAGGCTAACTTGTTTTTTCATCATTTTCATAGTTGTTAGAAACAGGATTTTTCGGTAATTGCTGTGTAACCCTAGGGAATCAGCACGGAGAGAGGACAGAACAAATAAACTCTAGATACATGTTCCTCAAATGTTATTCCCAGGAAAAGTACATTAGCTTTGCTGGCATATTAAGATGAGTGCTTTCCAAGTTTGGGTCTTGTTTGCTGGTGTTGAGACGGCCACTGCCAGTGGCATCCTCTGTGGCCTGGGATGGGCTGGCAGAAGACCTTCTCTGCCTCTTGCCTGCTGACCTGTTGGAATCTGGTAAGTTATCCTCAGAGCCTGGTCTACATGCAGCGCCTGCGGGGATGGCATCTTCACCACTAGGCCAAGTCCCAAAGTCCCAAAGCCTGACTTGTGATCCTGTGAACTGGCCTCCGCCGTTTAATGCTGGCATTTGCCCTTGAGTCCTAAAGTAGTGGGTGTAGTAGTGAAGAAACCGAGTTAGAGTTTTTGCATGAAGCCCAACGTGGGTGGCCTAGGTGCCTAAAGGGGGAGTGAAAACCACAAAGCGAAGAAGGGGGTGCATCCCTTCCCCCCACAGCCCCCACTGCCACCGCGGCCTGTGACAGCTCTGCACGGTTCTGTTACCCAGAAGACCTTCCATATGTTATTGATTAAATTCTCATTGGGGAGGCAAGTGGGAGCGTTTATCTGCATCTCTGGCCAGCGTGGAATGGTGCCTAGGCCGTATTGACCGGCTGCGGGATATGCTGGCGGTCACAGTTGTCTTTTACGAAGAAGAGCACCGGGTGACGCCGGTTGTCATTCTGACTCTGCTGTGTGGCAGCGTAAATAGTCCCCTTTCCAACCAACCTGGTGGGAAAAGTCAATATCCCATCAGCAGAGGAGGTAAACACATCAGGAGCTGTACCCTCGCTTCCTCCCCTGCCCGCGTCACTGCAGCTCTGTGAACTAGCTCTCCCCTCAGCAGCTCGCCTCGCCTCCAGGGGCATTCTCGTCCTTCTCCTATGAGGGGCTCCCGCAGGCCGCGCCTGCAAGGGGGGTTGCCCTTGGGGCCATTGTTGTGTATTCCCAGCCGCCTCGGATAATTAGAACTTTCACAGTGTCTTTCTCTGGTCGCTTAACGATATGCCCCCTCTTTCTTGCCTCTTTTCCCGCCCCCTTTGGGCATTAAAATCCTCTCTACAAAACTTTTTGTTGTTGTTTTTTGAAAGGCAACTGATGTAATTTAGAAAAGGTTGTGGAGAACAAATGTGAATGTGTCGCTAAGGAACAAAAATCTTGAGCCCCCAGAGTTTTCGTCTTCCGGGTGTTTTGTGGACTTCACTGCAGTTCCGGTGGGGTTTCTTTTTGTGATCGTTGTGCGCTCCCTTCCCTGTCCTTTCCTGGTCCAGGCGCAGGGCAGCCTGGCTCCCCCAACCCCCTTGGCCCTGGCAGCATCTGGGGGCCTGCCCATCTCCATCTGGGCGCAGTGACGCGGGGTGTGGGAAGGGGATGCGCCAGTGAGCCCCTCCTGCTGAGCCCCTCCTGCGTGTGTGCTCGGCTTCTGCTACCTGCTTTCCCTCTTACCCCGCAGTGCCAGCTGTGTGACCCTGGGCAAGGGGCTTAACCTCCCGCTTACCTCAGCCATAAAATGGGGATTAAAAAAAAGGGGGCCTCTCCAAGCACCTAACAGAGTGCCCCGGCAGCTTTGATGAAAAACTCTGTCATCCAAACCGTCCTGTGCAGGGTTGGCGTTCCCAGGGATCACCCTCCTTCCCAAAGGGTCAGGCGAGGGAGTGAGAGCCCTGCTGCTCCTTAAAAAGAACCAGGTGTGGACAAACTGCTCTGGGAAGCGAAAGGAAAGCTCTTTTTTGTGTGTGGCTGGTAGTGGCCTTCTGAGAAGCAGAGATGAATGGGTGGGAGGAGCAGGAAGCAGAGAAAGGGCTGCTGCCTCCCCTAAGCTCACAGGTATACAGTGTGGACAAAGAAGAAATCTTGCCAGTGGACAGGAGCTCTCCAGGCAGCCAACTCCGCCTCTTTCAGCAGAGGCAGGGACACAGACTGAGGGACTAGGACTAGAAGAAGCCAGCTAGGCCCAAGCCGACCCAGGGAGTTGGCGCTGGGAGCTCTGGCTTCCTTTGAGACAAAGTAGTCGCTGCCACATGCACGCTTTGCATGCAGTTCTGCACATATGCTCGCGCCACAGCGCTGCGAAAGTGGCGTCTGCATGTGGATTCACCTTGTCTGCTGCACATGGGCGTGCACCTGCATCCCGAGAGGGCCCCGGCCCGGTGTGCTGAGCCAGCTAGGTGCTGAGATGAGGCGGGCAGAAAAAGGAAGAGATTTCCACAGAGGGATGTCAGGGCCTGTGCCCACCTGCAGTGGACTAGCCCCAGGGTAGACCAACGACAGGACCATGAGGACACTGAGATGTGGAGCTGCAAACAGAAATCTGCATCCCCTTCTCTAGTGCTTGAGGAAGACCGGGCGGTCTTTAAAGAAGAGACTTGTAATCCTTTTATTTTTATTTCTTTTTAGAGAAACTGAAGAAGCAATATCTGACCCCCAAAGTTCTTCAGGACTACAAAAAACTCAAGAACACAGCAGAGCAGTTCTTGTCCCGAAGTGGCTACTCCGAAGTGAGCCTCAGCAAACTCTTCGCGGACTGTGCTGTGAAGTCCTGAGGGAGTCCCAGGAGTGAGCAAGGCTGGTGGTGGGAGACTAGCAGCCACCTGGGCACCTCCACCATGGCCCTCACTGCTTCTCTGGCATCTGCTTTTTCCTTTGGGACTGCAGCTCATGTTGGTGTGGATGGGACTTGGGAGCGGGATTATTAAGGAAAACTGGGGGAAAAAAATCGGTCTCCCAAGCAGCAGAGAAAACCCCAACAGCCTTCCTATTACAGTCTCCCACGGAAAATTGAAGCATGACCCTGTAGCCCTTTGCTAAGCACCCGAAGAGCTTGCCGCTTCCTAGAAAGGACTGGATTTCTAGGGGAGGGGTCGGTGAGGGCAGGGGCATGAATTGAGAGTGGCTGGAATGCAAGTGACCCCAGGCTTTGCCCCCAGCCTTCAGCAGAGGTACCTCTAGAACGGGGTTCTGTGGAGCCTGGTAGATGCCCTGCTATTTTGCCTTCTCACACGCCAGTTAAACCCAGTCTGAACCCACACGCTTCCCAGCCGCTGGCTCCGGGAGTGGCTGTCCTTTCCAGTGTCCTCTGTCTTGTCGGTGGCCCAGGGGCGAGTTAGAAGCCCTGCACTGACTCCCTAGGCTAAGCAGCGCTCACTTGTTTATTGAATTGCCCCAGAGTCCAACACACTCACACTCCTTTTTTTCCTTAAGTAGGAAATTCAGGTGGAGGTTCGTACAATAGAAAATCACATTTAAAATAATTTGATATCCTATAACATTTCATTAACGATGTGTAGAGGTTGGGATGAGGATCTTCGTTGTATTCAGAAAAACTGCGGGGAGGGATGGCTAATTGGCCCTGGCACTGTTTTCCTCAGTTCTTCACAAGGGAACCCTTTTTGCCAGAGGCCAAGTGTATCTGAGTGTAGCGGTCTTAGCTTTCATGCGTTATCCGTAAGAGTATAGGAACAGAATCTATTTCCCCTTGCATAACCGTGCTATATATTTTTAAAGAGAACTCCGTGTTTTACAAAAGAAAAATACATTGTGCTCTTCCTGCTAAAGAATAAAGTTTCCTAAAGGGCAAGCAGTTGTGGTGCGTCCGTGTCCGGGGGCAGATGTTGACCAGAGGGGTGGCCAGCGCCTTCCCACACTTCAGCCTGCTTTCTTCTCTGCCGCCCAGGTCAGAATTCAGCTCAGATGCTCCGCGTGCTGTAGGCCCGAAGGGCTCTGCGTGGCGTTCGGGAGTTCTGCGGACCTTGAAGAGATGAAGTGTGGTTTCTCCTGTGTTGGGCCAATTTAGACAGCCAGGGAGACCCAAGCCAAGACCCGGTGGTGTTTGGGAAGCAAGGTCCGTGGCTCCTGGGACAAAGTCTTCCCACAAGAGACTGGTCCCCCAGCGTGGCCCCCAGGGGAGGAATCCATGTGAAAGCAATAGAGAAAAGGGCACCGAGGTCTTGCTTTCCGAGGTCTTGCTTTCGCCTTCTCTTGTCTCTCCCCACCCTGTCCTTTCTCCTCTTTAGAAACCATCTGGGCTGAGGGCTGTGTCTGTTGGTTGATTAATGCCCTGGTACTTCAGGCTCAGCAGCCTGTCAATAGTTGCAGCACCTGAGTTGCTTGGAGAAACTAAGGGGCCGGTGTGGTTTTCCACTGCTAAGTCATATGGTTAATAGAGCTGGTTCTCTGTGCGCGCTTCTGGAACCCATGCCCCCTCTTTGCTTTCCGAAGAAAAGACATGTGCCCCTTGATTTCTGGGTTAGGGTAAATATGATATAGAGTTACTCTAAACTTGGTGCTCAAGAAACTCCAGGAGACTCAACTCCTCACTGATGCCTGCTTGTCTCTGTCTCTAGATTGCAGCGACTGAGAGAGGAGGACCCACTGCTGGAGAAAGTCTAGAAAGTCAGACTATTTCTTAGTACCGTCCCCAGAAAGAATTGATGCAGTGCTTGATGTTCTCTTACTCAGATCTGTAGCTCCAGCTTAGCTAAGAGGCTTTTCTAAGAGGTACCTAAAGATTCCAGAATTTTATAGAAAGTTGAAACCACAACTTTGATTAAGAATTCCAGTGGGTTTCTGTTGGAAGATCAGAACATATTTCATACTCACTTTTCTCTGCGAAAGGTTTCTCCTTGGTTTGCACAGCAGGTAGAACGTGCACAGAAACCAACCCCTTCTCTGTCACAGGAAGCCTCCCCAGAAGTCTCCATGGCTCCCTGACACGGGTGTTAGGTTAACATGTGAAAAGTGACCAGATGACACAAGCCTGGTTCACACAAAAGAGTGGCAGGGACTGTGCGAAGCCGAGTGTGCAAGTCCTGTTTAAAGGGGGCAGCAGCCACTTGGTGATGCTGGGAGGGAACCCCCCTCCCTCTTAACCACAAGGCCCAGTTTTTTCAGAGAAACCGGAATTTCCAGAGTTTTCCAGGGAATCCGGCTGTTCCCTGAGGTTCTTGATTTCTAAACCTATACTAATTTTTGAAAATAGATTTTTAAATGCCGCGGGCCAGACAACCTGTGAGCCAAACTTCATCTGGCCAGTAGGGAAATGACGCCCTAAAAGAACCTCGTCCTCAGAGTCCCCTGCCTCTGAAAAGGGGACCTTTCCGTTGAGTTTAGCAAGTGGTCTGCCTCCAGCCTGGTGCACATTTATTTATCTTGGGAGCAATTTGCTAACCCTCAACTCTCCCTCATGCTGGGAGGCGGGGGAGGTGAGAAGTTGAAAATCCCACCAAGAGCACGCTTGACGAGATTTTAGCTTGTCCAGAAAACAGATGGAGTTCATCTTGTGGCTCTTGCCCAAGAGGTGGGGGCTCATCAAAGTTCACAGAGGGGCGCTGGGGACAGGGCGCTGAAGGGGACGAACGCGCCGCACCGGCCACCGTCCGCTTCTCCAGCCCTTCCCCTTGGACACACCGAAACACCTTGGACACACTAACACCTCAGCATGCTCTTTCAAACATGTTTCAGTTCAGTCTGGCAGAAGACACAAAGATGGAGAAACTCGAGAACCAGATCTCCCCGTCTTCTTCTTCTTCTTCTTCTTCTTCTTCTTCTTCGGTCAGGGGGTCAAGGTTTTCAAAAACCCAGCAAGCCCTAGCTCCCGGCAGAATTCCCCAGCAGCTCGCCACTCAATTCAGCGCTTCGATCCCAACTTCCAGACGCCTCGCCTCCCCCCACCCCCTTTCTCCCCGCCTCCCTCTTTCCCTTTCCCCGCTCACCTAAATATTTCTTAATTGAACGGTTTGCTGTGGAGCTTCCTTATAGCAGTTTAATAGATTAACTCATCTGAGCCAGCCTCAAATTTCAGATTAAAATTCCTTCATCCCGAAGGCAGCATTATCAGGTTGTTGGAGGCTGTTTTCAAACCTTGGTTTTGAATAGCAGCGGCTCTGCATTAATTTAACCACTAAGCTAATAAGTAGGTTTCGTTTTGTTATGCTAAGCTTTATTGCTTTTCTTTTGATCAGAATGGTGTTGTTGAGCAAAGCAGCAGACAAGGCATTCTTTGATGAGGGAATTAGCGCTCCATTCTTCTTCTATTATTCATAGCGCAGTGGAATATGTAAGTACCTGAGGGTGTCAAAGGAGCGCAGGTTCTATTGCAAAGTGCTCGCCTTGTTTCTCTCAATAGCTGACTATGAGATGATAAACCGCTTAATACACTGTGCTAATTGGATGAGAGCAAAAAGAGATGGGAATTAAGGCGAGGCAAAAGGAGAAAGTGCAACCAGCCTTCAATTCACTCTTTCACCACTTTACCAGCACCAAAGGAGGCACAAGCTTTCTATAAGCAGACTAGAGGTTTTGTGCAGAGATAAAATGAACGTGTTAGTGGATTCAAGTAATACACTAATTATTGCACAGTATAAATACCACTACTGGTTTTATAACAGGGAGGTAAACTTCTTTTGAGAGGGTTATAGGATTGCTTGGCAGTGGTGTAGAACCTAATAAGGGCCCAGAGTAATAACCCCCTGGATTAACAAAATTGCTGCTTGTAGAAGTATGATTCAGGCTTTTACGAAGATTTCCGGAGAATGAATAAAAATGACTGAATGACATTTCTTAATGTATAACTGGTAATCGCTCCCTTTTCTTTAAAGGAAAAAAAAAAGTATACTTCAAACTGGACCGTTAATAACGTCCAGGGACAACACGACTTTTTCCTCTGAGAAATGCTTTTTCCCTCTTCAGGTAGCAGGTTTTCCTGTCCCCGCCTCCCAGCCAGGTTGCCACTGTCAGTTCAATATGCAGTTGCCCCGGGGAACTCTGTTCCAAAATACCATTTTAGGCCCCATTTAAGACCCCCTTCGTTCAGACACACTCGCTTTTGTGTACACACATAACACACACACACATGCTCAGGCACACGTTTCTCTCTAAAAGCAAGTTGAACTAAACCATGTGTGATTTCCTTCCCTCTAACATCAGCCCCCTCTTGTTTTCTGACAGGCTCTCCACACTCAACACGATACGAAAGAGAGAAGTACAGGTGCCTTGTCTTTTGGTATTAGAAATCCGAAACAACAGTAAATGAACGCTGGCCCCAAGTGACTGGGGGGTGGGGGGTGGGGGCGCTGTGTTAAAATGAGAAAAAACTGGGCCACAGCCCGGGCCAATCGCGGTGTCTGGCTGAAGACTGAGCGTCAAGTCCCCTTTGTCCCAAACTTTCTCTTCAGTAGTCCTCTCCCAGCACATCCACTTTCTGTCCTCGCCACACACCTAAGATGTCCGCCCCAACTACTGTCCGGGGACCAGGCCCTGGGTAAGAGGTGACGGAATATCCCTTAGGGACGCCTTCTGATTCTATACCAACCGCTCCCTCTCGCCTTGCCTTTCCGGGGCCTCATCCAAATCTGCCCAGCCCGTCTGAAAATGTAGCAAATTAACTTACCGGTTCCCATCTTCCTTCCCACAGAGCCCAGGGCGGGGCTCCCAATCACCCCTCACCCCAAGGTGCTGTGGGGTGGCCCTGGGAAAGCAGGTGGTGGGGCATTCTGCCCTGGGTGTGAGAGGGGACTGCCATGCCCCTATCACAGAGGCCCTCCTCAACCCCCCGGGCTCCGGGCTCCGTGTCCTCCTCCATGGTGGAAGAGGTTTGCTTAAGGTTAAGGGGGTCAGCCGCTCCCAGCATTGTGACCGCGTTCCCAGATATTGGGGCCAAATTGGGTTGCCATTCATTAATAATGCTCACAATAAGATTAAATCATTCTGGAAAATCTCATAAAATCCCCCTAAGTACGCTCCAGTGGCTCTTTCCAATCCCCATCATTCAGCACTTGGGGAGGTTTGGAAGGAGAAGAAAATTGGTTTCTTTGCTTTTAATGCTGCTTTGAAAAGATACTCAGAGTTTGTCATGCGTGACATGTCACATGTTTAATGTGGACTTGCTGGAAGTCAGGGGGTCTTTAGCGTGTGATATTTATGGGGAATATTAAATGCAGAATGAGGTCCCTCCAGCTGGGGAAAGTTGAAAGAATAGGAGGCCCAGGACCGGGCTTGTTTGCGGCATCAGAATGACATAGGATTAAGAGTTTGTAAAACAAGGCGAGGGGTTCTCATTGGCCAGTAATAAATGTAATCCTTGGAGGTAATTTCACGCAATTTGCTTCTGCTCCATGGAAGGGTCAAATGAGAAAAAATGACTTAAAAAAGAGTTCATTAACAGGAAGAATGGTACTGTTTCTCGTATACCATCCAACTGGCAGCCTGGAGGGGGGGAAAGCCCTACCTAAACAAAAAGCCAAAATCGACGGAAAATTGATATTGACCACCAAAAAAAAAAGTTCTTTCCCTCACGCTCCTCCTGCGCCTCAAACTCCCCAGTGGCCCTTCCTGGGGGTGGGGGCAGCGGCCTTCACCCCAGGAGCCCCTGTGGAGTCTGGAGGTTTGAGATACTCAGATCTCTGGGGATGCCCTAGAAAGTTCCCGCCAGGCCTACTAAACCAGAGAAAGGGGTGTGTGGCGGGAATGGCTCTGGCAGCCCCTGGCCGGGCCCCTGCTTGCGCCCGCTGCCCTCTTGCCTCAGGGGCCTGGCCGCAGCCGTGGAAGCCTACCCTCGGTCAAGGGCCGGGGAGCAGACTCCGGCCGGGGAGTCCCGTCGGCGTGCTCCCCAAGGTTTACAGCGGGCGGGAGGGGGGGGCTCCCGATTTCTGAGCAGGGTGGGCGAGTCGAGGTTGTCCCGGCCGGCCCGAGGCTGGACCCCGCACCCGCAGGTCGCCTGCGCCCACTGGCGCCCCAGTCCGCGAGCTGACCCGCCCCTCTCAACAGGGGCGCGGCCTGGGGGCGCGCGCGGAGCCCGACGCTGGCCAGAGACGCGCCCGCGCCCCCCGCGGTGACCGACTGGCGGGCGGCCTGGCCCGCCGGCCCGCACCCGCTCGACTAGCCGCGGTGTGTCGCCGCTGCAGCCCGCGCACACCCCCCCCGCCCCCCCCCCCGCCTGCCCCGCTCCCCAAAGGTCCGGCGCGCTAATTACTGCAAATTGAAACTAATTAAGCTTCTCTTCCCTTTCCCATCACCCTGGGAACGTTGGCGAGACCCAGCCCCCGCGGGCGGGCTTTCCCGGAGCGGTCACCCGAGGGGCGCGGGCAGGGTGCGGGGAGACACTACCGTGCGCCACGCGGGGAGGGCTGCGCCGAGGGGGCTGCAGGTTGCAAATCTGTTTGGGTCTCCTCACGAAACCTGAGTTGTTTAGATTTTTTTTAAAATGTATACATTTCCCAATGCCTGGATAAGTGATGTAATGACATTTGTCGAGTTACGATCTGCCACTTGGATACCCCTCGCTGCTGCCTTTCCATCAGTTTCAGCTCGCGCTCGCGCTCTCTCTCTCTCTCTCTCTCTCTCTCTCTCTCTCTCTCTCTCTCTCTCTCTCTCGCTCTCTCTCCCCCTCTCCCTCTCTCTCACGGTCCCTCCTCCCCGAGAGTGTGCCATGGAGCCCGCCCCCTCGGAAGCCAGCGCCTCGGCTTCTCGCTTTCGCCATTACCTGTCATCTCGGACTGCGCACTTCCTTGCTACGTGGCACTTTCCACGAATGGCTTCCTTTGCCTTCCAACCCTCCAGTTCGCTCCAAATTTCTGTCTCCCCCGTCAACAACGCCTACCGTACACCCACCCACCCACCCTCGAGCCCACCCCACCTTCCTGGCCCAGGACCTCCAGCTCTCGCTGCGCCACGACCCGGGGGAGCCGAGATGCGCGTGGAATGCGCCGCGGTGGCGTCCTTCACCCGTGGAGGAACCCGGATCCCTCTGGGGATCCCATTCAGTCCCCGGGCCGCTGCCAGGAAAACGTGCGCGTTCAGATAAACCCAGGCGTGCGGGCTGTGGGACGCCACCCCTGAGCTCTGCCCCCCCCAGCCCCCCACTGTTCCCTCCTCGTCTGCACAGAGCATTCACACTTCCTTTTGTTAAACATATATTTTTTTTTATTTTGAGCGTGACACTTCTCCACTAGATAGCAAGGAAAAGTGATAACAATTACACATTACACAAAAGTACTGTACCATTGCCTTTATCGTGAAGGTTTCGGAAGCCTCTACAGTTAATAAGTTAAATAAAGGGCTTGAGTACATAAATATTTGTCTAGGAACCCTACCGTATCTACAACACAGTAAGAATCTACGGGAGGACAAACTTTTACCATACCACGCTGAGTGCAATTGCGTTATAACATTTCAAATATACAAAGCTCTGTTCTTTTTTTTTTTTTAATAACAATGGTATGTACAGAATCAATAATCACAGTTTGGTGACTTCAACAGTCCATATTCTAGCAGAGTATTTCCCTTTGGTTTGATATAAAAACCTTGGTTGGTGTGTGATAAAGAAGAGAACAAGAACGAGACGCCCCTTTCCTGAAGTGCACTGGCAGCTTATCTTACAACTCGCGGCCGCCGCCCCGGCCCTGGCCCCACGCCGGGGCCCACGCCGGGGCGAGCGGCTCGGAGCGCCGAAATGCTGTTAGGAAAGAAAGGCGCTAAGTGGGTGTCAGGAGGAAGAGGGGGTGGGCTGTTGCAATTTTTCACTTCGATACCAGGCGTCTTGGGGAGACAACGTCCCAGTGTTTTCAGTAAAGTAAGAACAGGAGAGAGTGGACGTGTGAGTTGGAGCGAGGTTGGCAGTGGGGGGGGGGCGGGGGGAGCAGGGACGGGGTGGGGTGGGGGGGACAGCCAGCCGAGGAGGTGCCACGTCCGTGAGCGCCGAGGGCGGCCTCGCCCGCGCGCGGGCTGCTGCGAAGGCGGCCGTGCTCGCTCAGTGCCGTCGCGGGAGGGTGCTGGTCCTCTGTTTCCATTTGGTCTTGAGTGGTGCTGAGTGAGGTGACCTTTCGGGGCGCCGGGGTGGAGGGCAGCCTTTAGCACACCTCCTTGCCCGTGCTGGTGCCCGGCAGGATGTTGAGCTGCGTGAGCTGCGCGGCGTGCTCCTTGGCCTTGAGCCTCAGCGCGGCTATGCTAGAGGCGCGTCTGTCTGCGGCCGCGGTGGCCGGATCGGCCAGCGCGCCCGACGCCACCGCGCCCTCCACGGCCGGCGTGGGCTGTCTCAGGAGCGCGGCCGCGGTCGACGCGCTGGTCAGGGGGGCCATGGTGGAAAAGAGCCTGCGGGGAGAGCAAACAGCGCGGTCACGGCCTCGGGAGCTGGGCGGGCGCCTCGGGCCGCGGTTCCCGCCGCCTCTCCCCAGGGGGGCCGAGGGGCACCGGGGGCTCTGCGGGCGCCGCCGCGGGGGGCGCGGACACGCAGGCCCTGGGGCGCGCGGCAGGCCGGGCCGTCGCGCGCGGGGGCGGGAGGCTGGGGCGAGCTGGAGGCCTGGACCCGAGGAGGGACCCGACGGAGGAAAGGAAAGAGAGACCGAGGGCCCAGGTTTCTCTGGCGGGCTCTCAGCAGGCGTCGGCCCCCGCGGCCCAGAACCCCAAGGCCCAATGGCGCGGACTTTGTGGTTTCGCTGAAGGAGGGGGTGTCCCCCCCAACCAGGAGCTCCATTGCCTGGCATGCTGTTTGCCAGGAGCGAGAAGAAGAAGGACAAAGAGAAAAAGGAGAACGGAGGAGGCGCTGGAAGGGGAAAGCTAGACGGGCGGGAGAAAGGGCCAACACTGACCAAGACCCAGGCTGCAGACTTCGCCCTCTCCAGGGCCGCTGCGGGGCTCCTTCTGCCCTGGCACATTGGCCTTGTCTGCCGGCCCTCCCGCCGACACCGCCTGCCCTCCTGGGCCAGGCTGCGCCGGCGGGGCCGGGCCCACGACCGCCTGTTGATATCCGCTCGACCCGCGGCTCGGACTGGCCAGCGGCCCCGCGTCCGGTGCAGCGACATCCTTTCCCCGCCGCCCGCCCTGTGTCCCTGCGGCCTCTGGCCCCAGACACCCCCCAAACCCGCTGCCCCCGCTCGCGGCCCTCAGCGACGCCCATGCCTAGGACTTTCTGCACGCGCCACCGCCTCCCGGCTGCGCCAGGATTGCTTCGTGCGGAGCCTTCACGCCCTGCGCGCCGCACCGCGCGGATCTACAGCTGAAGCCCCGGCCGCCTCCGGCTACCCGACGCCACCGCACCTACCCCTGCCGCTACCAAGTGCCCGCCGGGTTTTTCGGCCACTTCCCCGAGGGCTCTGACTTTGGCCTCCGCGAGGCCAGTTCGGGGTTTCCACGATTAGAAAAGCGCCCCACAGGGCCCATGCAGAACCTCTTGCTTTTCCCCCAAACCCGCCCTCCTCCCCTCGAACCAGCACCCCTCTTCCAGCGTCTGTGAACCTCGCAGCCAGGTACTCCAGGCGCGGTTGGCAGGCTTTTACCAGTCCCTTGTCAGGAGGCGGGAGGCAGGCTGAGGGGGGCGCGGGACTTCAAGTTTTGTTTTGTTTTGTTTTGTTTTTCCCAGAAAGAAATAATAAAGTGTGACCTGGAGGGGGCGTCAAGTGCCTCGGTTCCCCTAGGTAAACTGAGTCACTACACTTCAATGCACACCTTGTTGATTGGTTTCTTACAAGAAACTAATTTTCCTTCGAGATCTTTTTTGCAAATTTTCCCTAAGATGATTTTTGTTAAGTGGCTGCGCAGTTGGAGGAATCTATTATTTCTTTGTTCTCCCAAAGAGAGATCATTGAAGCTGCATTCAGTTTTATTTTCACTGCACTTTCTAACTTAATACATCCCTCTTTTGTTTCTTTGTCTGTGTGATTATACAGACTTTTTTATTTCATCATTCGATGTTCGTTTAAAGACAGGGAGTTATAATATACGATGAGCTGTTTCTTTTATTTCGTTGTCTCCTGCCGCTGTGGGGGTCGGAGGTTGCGCGTATGGGGGTTTGGTTGGCAGCCGGTCACTTGAGTGACAAAGAAGGTAGCGTCTGGGGGAGAATAATGAATTCTCTGCACCCAGAGGACCGGTGGGTCCAGGGCTCCTGTGGAGAACAGGCCTGTGTTCCTCTGGCTGCTAGACTTGGGCCCTGAGGAAGGGTTTTTGCAAAACTTGTCCTCCTGGCTGTGTAGCTGGTGCGCGCTTACACCCATGCCACCTAGGGCCCGGGCTGTGGCTGCCTTCAAATGGTACTTTTACAGCTTTCATTGACTACTGACAACTGTCACAGTTGTTACTGCCACCGCCTTCCCCTTTGCCACTCAGCTCCAAGTCTTTCTCCTCAAGATCCACACGTCTTGAGGCAAAATTAGAGAGTATTTTCTTTGGCTGAGAGGCTGAGGTTAGGCCGAAGAGAACAGATACGGGTCGCTCCTGCCTGCCCCCCACCTCCTCCCGGACCCCCGCCCCCGAGGTGTGCACGAGAAAGGCGCAGACAGACTCCCCGCGGCCGCGTGTTACCTGCCGAACGCAGGGCTGATGAAGGCCGGGTGCCGGAACACGGCGGCTCCAAGGAAAGTGCTCAGGCCCAGCGGCGCCCCGCTGGGCGGCAGGCTGGCCGAGCCGGGAGGCGGAGGTAGGCTCGGGAAAGCGGCGGCGGCGGCTGCGGCGGCGGCCGTCCAGGCCGAGTCGAGCGCGGGGTGGTGCGGAGGGAAAGGGCTGGCGTCCAGGTAGGGGCTGAGCGGGTGGGTGGCCGAGAGCGGCCCGGGGAAGGGCAGCCCCGGGGGATGGGTCTGAGCGCCCGCCTTCTCCCGCTTGCGCCACTTCGCCCGACGGTTCTGGAACCAGACCTGCAAGGCGGAGAGAGCCCCGGGTCTGCGCGGCTCGTGGCCCGGAGGGCGCACCGGGCGTGTCCCGACTCCCCTCCCGAGCCCTGCGCGTGGCACCGTGGATGGGGGGCTCCTTCCTCCCCACGGGGACCCACACCGCCCCTGGCCTCAGAGGGCTCAAGGGCACATCTGGGACCATTGCGGCTGCGCAAAGGAGCCCGAACTTAAAGCCAGCAGGAAACAGGGCAAAGGCAACCCTCCCCAGTGGGTTTTTCAGTGAACCGGGTTCCTTCCCGAGCTCAAGGAAAGGTGGTTCGGTGTGTTTAGAGACGGGGAGACCAAGGTCTGTGCTGCCAGTCCCTTGCTGTGTCTTTAGTCGGGTCACCTAGACCTCTCTCAACCTCAGTTTTCTGATCTGTCAAATGGGGGTAATGAAACTTTACTCACAAGCCCGTTGGAAGGAATGAATAAAACAAGGCAAGTGCAAGCTGGCATCCAGGAGTCTCCCTCCAAAAGGGAGGCACCGAGGCAGGAATGCGGGCCAGCTGTTTTTGCCTATTTCAGGGCAAAATCCTGCTCTGGACCGGAAAGGAAGTCAGGGAGGCATTCATTTATTCTTTCCAGAAATATTTATTAAACACCTACAGCACTAGGCCGGATCCTGAGGTTTGGGGAGAGCTGGGAGGGAGGAAAGAAATGCTCAGGACAGTTTGCTGACTGTTTCAGTTCCTGGGCAGGTCTCCAGGAGATGAAATCCGGGTGTGGGATACGCAGCCTGCTATCTGCAGGGGCTTTAGGCGGGGCGGGATCTACCCAGGAAACTACTGACTGCGTAGACCAGGAGGGCAGCAATACCTGGACGCATAGGAATCAGAGTACTGGAGACCTGTAGACTTTTCACGTCTTCTGCGCTACCAGGTCCCTTCTTTCTTTAGGGGATGTGGTTAAACAGGTTATTTAAATGAGATACTTCTAGGCTTGGGGGAGGTTTTCAGCACAAGGTATCTTCCTAATTGTTAATAGAAAGCAGTTTTAGTAGAGACCTTTACCTGAAATGTGGCAGCTACCAGAGTCTAAAAATAACACTCAGGAGCATGAAATTATTTTTATGTGACCTGCTCATCACACCCACAGCTAAGAAGGTAGGCTCCTTCTCCCCTGAAGGTATTAATATTTTAGGGCTGGGTTTATGCCTGCACACAAGTCTCAAAATTAAGAATGAACTTCAGGGCTATACAGAGTTATATTAAAATATAATGTAAATGATCCCCGAGGAAGATGTTTAAAAATTTTTAAGACATCCATGTCTTTCAAATATACACACTGGGGGCTGTCGTTACTAGCACTAGTATCTAAGCTTGGTTTGACTTCTAGACAGTCATCCAGGGCAAGAAACATCGACATTCGAAACTGGTTGATTACTTAAAAATTCTTCGGAAAAGGACCCCATCCAGAACATTCCACAGCCCTCAAATGATCTATTTGTGACTTGCAGAAACATTCCAGTGTGGAAATTTAGAGGCCTGAAAAAGTAAGATGGGACCAGGTTGGGTGGGCAGCTTTTGTGTACCCAAATCTGTCTAGACGAGAATCTCCGCCACTCCTCGCTGCGGTGAAAGGAGCAGGGGTGGGCAGTGGAGGCAGACTTGCCCCCAAAGAACATGGAAACCTTTCACAGACGAGATCATGGTCGCTCCCTGCTCAACTGCAATTATCAAGATGTCCCCCTGCAATTCCTCATTATTGAATTAATACCTCTGAGGCCCCCCAAAGGTAAACGAAAGGACTCTAATAATTCATATTCACTTAATTACATCTTCTCCAGTGAATAGGGAGAGCGGAGAGGGGAGGGGGCGCTCTCTTTCTTTTAAAAAGTTATTTAACTTTCCCACGACTCATTCCCCTGAGCTGAAAATACAGAGTTGCTGTCACATCTCTGTTTGACAATGGAGAAATGTGTCAACAGAAAGGAGGGGCCAGGCCTCATCATTAGCCCTCTAATGCAAGAAGCTGTTGTGTATTAAATGAGCCATATGGAATTTATTGTGCTTTATCAGCGCTTGATTTTGACTGTAAAGTGATTCACTCAGCTCCTAACCCAGGGACATCTGTTTTCTGTTGGCCATCGGGGCTGCCCAGTGTTGATCGTCTCTTTGGTTATGAGGCCTGGGTTCGGAAATGCACTCTGGTATGGAGCTGCAAACACCTTTAATAGCATTGCACTCACTCCCTATTAGATCAATGTGGGCTCATTGCTATAAAAAATGGGAAATCAAATAGCATTAGCCAGCTCCTTGTGCGGGCGGAGGGGAAATCAAACAGCATTTTGCCTTCAAATGGCCCTGTTTGTTCTAGCACTAAGTGGGCTTTTATGAAGCCCGATTGGAGACTTAATCGCAGCCAAATACCTGCTTGGAGCTGAGCGGATTTGTCTAACAACCAAATCCATGCTCCATCCCATTATTTCAATCAGGAGAAGTCAGTCTGCAGATTGTTTCCTACCAGGGCTGTGGAACCAAAGGTTGGGGGGTGGGGGTGGGGGCTCCTGAACTGTAGTCTCAGGGACCCTAACTGCCCCTTCTGATCCTGTTCTCCTTTCTCAGGGCTCCCAAATCCAGAAACCTTCCCCTCCAACCTCCCAGATCTTCATATTTTAATATCCCTGTGTGTGTGTGTGTGTTATGTGTGTGAGTGTATTTTTCTGCTTCTACTCCTCCATTTTATGAAGGGGGGGGGTCTCAATTTCCCCCCATCCATCAACCCTTTTCTCCCTCTCCCAGTCACCCCCAAACTCTCTCCCTCCCTTTCTGTGGTGAAGCTCACCTGGACTCGGGCCTCAGTCAAGTCCAGCCTCATGGCAAGTTCCTCCCTATAAGAAAGCAACACACAGACAGGAGGTCACTGCAGGTCCCAGCAGCCCCCTCTCAGTCACCCTCCCCTTGCTAGCAGGCCTCATCCTTTGGGGTCTCCCCTGGCAGTCTGTCTTCACCCCCAAACACGTGGGCATCACCATCCCTTAACCACTGGAGTGCCTACTATTGATTAAAAACATAAAAACACACCGTGCATCGCCAGATAGAGAATATTTGGAGTCTATGGCATATTCTAGTCCAGTGACAGAGGTGGCTTTTTGAATCTGTAAGTCTGAAAATTGGGCACACACATTCTCACCCACTCACTCCAGCCAGAGTTAGTCAAGAAACAAGCACACACGCATAGTGCTCTTCTGAGGACACACACCGTTTCCTAATATTAAATAGGAGAAAAACTCTATATTAATTTTTTTTCCACCCTCTTGGTCTCTTTCTGCCTCCTTGAAAAATTTTCCTCTCTTTTTTCTGTCTCTCCTTCCAGTGCTGCCTTTCCTGCCATCTCTCTGTTCCCCTGTCTCACCTTCCTCCCTCGGGCACCCCCTTATTCATACTCCCCATTACCCTCTGGAGATATGTTAAGCTTGTTAAGAGTTCAGTGGGGTAATTTTTCGATTAAACAAAATTCTGTGCACCTCCTCACTCCAGTGCCCACTACAAACCCTGCCCATCTCAGGGGAAGTCAATTTAACTGAAACCCTACCCCATCATTGCCGTTATTACTGCGACAATTAAGGCAAATAGGAAACCATTAAGATGCTGTAAAACGGCTTACGACCTGTTTACCGAAAATATGAGCGCGCTGAGAATAATTGGCTCTCGGATCGCTAATTTGAAAAGCGAGGGCCGCCCCAGTCTGGGACCCTGGTTTGCACTGCTGTCCACACCTGGAACTCGGGAGCCGGGAGGAAACCGGTTCACTGTGCACTTCCGGTAGTCTCCTGCTGCAGTGAACCCCAGCACCTCTGAAACCACACTCCTGGGGGCTCCGGGAGGCAGCCAAGGGCCTCTAACCCCTGGGGCAGCCAAAGGGAGATGCCCTGTGCACGGACTTTGGTTTCCCCCTGGCAAAGCTAAAAAAAGGGCAGGCCCGATGCCAACTGACATCATTTTCTTTTTGAAATACATAGTGTGATAAACTCAAAAGGTCGGTGGGCCAGTTGGCTACTTGTTAGCACAGGCTGATTTCTAAATTTACTTTGTTTTCTGAGAGATGATAAAGGGACTGGGTGAAGGACCAAGTTTAGCTCCAGGGATGATCAAGTTTAGCCTTCTCTCTGAGTCAGCGCCAGTCTTTGCTGCTGGTTCGGAGAGAGTTTGCCAATTCACTGACAGACCAGCTACACTTGAGAGTTGGCTCCGGCCTCCGGGGCCCTAAGCGGGCGATTTCTCGTCCAGTTCAAAGGAACGGGCGGCTTTCCGCTTCAGAAACGCACATTGAAAAGCTGCACACGTCTCCTGCGAAGGAGCGGCCCGAGTTTGACAAGCCCAGGGCCAGGCACACCATCCCTTCCTCCCTGCCCAGTGGGGGAAGTTTGCTAGGGCCCGAGTGCCTGCGCGGAGACCTTGGTGTGAGAGGGGGAGAGGAAGGGCCCCCGCGGGGCCCGCGCCCCAGGTCCACCGAATGAGCCAGGGCCCAGGGGCCCCGTCGCCTCACGGGCACATCTTTCCTCTAGAAAGTCCAGCGAGGGCAAGTGGAGCGTGAGCAGGTGGAACACCGGGGTGGACACTAGTCTTCAGAGAAACATTGTGCAGCTCTTTCATCTGCTGCCCGCCGGGCTTCGAGCTGGGATTGTGCGCGCGGCAAACCCGTGTGCACTGAACGAAAGCGGGGTTCACGTGCGTGGGTGTGTTGGGTGGGAGAGAGGCGAAGAATCAGAAGGGAGGATACTGTGCGGCATCTCCCCCCTCCCCGCAGGTGGACAGGTGTCAACCAGTGCCCAGTGTTGACTTCCTTGGGTTCTCAGGAGCTTTCAAAGGAGTGAACTTGGGTTTTTGAAGGCCTGCCCCGCAGGCGCGGGCCCCAGCTCTGGGACAAGCGGCGTCGCCGATACCCACCAGGCTGCTGGGGCACGCGGGGGTGGGGGGTGGCAGGGCCGCGCACGGCAGCCACAAGGGACCCCGGGTTTGCCCTGGCCGAGAGGGCCCGCAGCGCTTCCTGCGCCTCCCCCGGACCTGGCCCGAGGCCCTGCCTGGTGGCCGGGGCGCGGCTCCAGGCGGCGCTTTCTCGCTCTCAAACTTTTGCTTGGGAAAAAGTGACACTGGGGAGGCTTTGGGGAGGAGAGACGGGAGCCGAGCGTACCCTGAGCGCCCGGAGTGGGGGGCTGGGGGGGACAGGGGGCGGCTTTCGGCGGCCAGGCCGGCGCGGCGGGTGGGGCGCCCTGGGCCGAGCGCAGAGGGGAAAGCCCTTGCGCGGGCTCGGCGAGCGGGCCGCGCGCCCTCCTGCCCCGGGGCCCGCCGCGGCCCGGCCGCCGCCGCCGCGCGCCTACCTGGTGAAGACGTCCGGGTAGTGCGTCTTCTGGAAGGCGCGCTCCAGCTCCTCCAGCTGGTAGCTGGTGAACGTGGTGCGGTAGCGCCGCTGCTTGCGCTTGAGCAGCCCTTCCTCCGAGTCGCTGCCGGCCGACAGGCACACGCTGTCCTCGCCGTCCTTGCCCTCGGCGTCCTCCGGGTGCAGCAGCAGCTCCTCCTTGGGCGACAGCTCCCCGCCCTCGGGGCCCACCGCGGAGGCGGCGGCGGCGGCGGCCACGGCGCCGGTGGCGGGCACCGCGCAGCGCCGGGGCTCCTTGAGCAGCGCGCGGGCGTCGTCCTCCAGCAGCTCCTCGTCGTCGTCCTCCAGCAGCTCCTCTTCCTCGTCCTCGTCCTCCTCGTCCTCCAGCAGCTCCTCCTCGTCGTCCTCGCCGCCCGCGCCCCCGCCCGCCGCCGGGGCGCCGCCGGGGCCGCCGGCCGCGCCCAGGCGCTCGTCGGGGTGCGCGGCGCCCCCGGGCCGCCCAGCTCGTCCAGGGCCGGCGGCGGCGGCACGAAGGGCGCCCCGTTCTCCCGGTACGACTTGCTGCGGCTGATGCTCACCTGCGGCGCCTGGCTGATCTTCAGCGTGTCCCAGGCGGCGGCGGCCGCGGCGGCGGCGGCCACCGCGACCCCCGCGCCGTCCGGCCGCTCCCCGGGCCGCGCGCCGGGCGGCGGAGGCGGAGGGGCGTCCCCCCGCGGGCCCGCGGTGGCCGAGGCCGCCGCCGCCGCCGCCGCCGCCGCGGCCGCCGCCGCCGCCGCGGCGCCCTGGAGGAGGCGGCCCCCGCCCGGGCCGTACAGGCGCCGGAGCTTGGGCGGCAGGTGCAGCTCGGCCTCGAACGGGGCGCCGCTGCCCTTGGGGGAGCCTGCGGGCAAGGGGGAGCCGTCAGTGCGCCCCCGCCCCCGGCCGGCCAGCGGCTGCCCCGAGGCGCCCGGGCTGGGGCCCCGCCGCGCGCGCCCCCGCTGCACCCCACTGTCACCCCTTTTCCTCGCCCCGCTTCCCGCGCTCCCTCCCCTCCCTCCTCTCCTTTCCCCGACGCTTCCCCTTATTTCCTTTCTTCCCGGGCCTCTTTCTGCCGCTGCCCTCCCCTGTCTTTCCTTGCCCGGTCTTCTTCTCCCTCTCTCTGCTCATCCTTCCCCTCCGCCTCTCCCCGCCCGCAGCTCCCGCGCGTCCACTCTCCTTCCTCCTTCCTGTCCCTTTCTTTCCCCTCGCCCTCTGTCTCGCGCTTTCTCGCCCTTCCCATTTCGCTGCAAGGGAGACTCTGCAAACATTCAACAACTTGCCAGAAAAATCAGCACCACCCTGAAACTTTGGGCAGCACATCTGCCAGCTGCTCCGCCCGAGGGGTCCAGGCGGTTGGAGGTGCGCTGCCCAGCGGGAGACCCCTCCGGGTAGTAGCTGGGGGCCCCTGGCCCCCAGCCCCAAGCGTCAACCGTACCCCAACAGTCAGCAGCGACAGGGAGCGGAAGCTCCTTGCACAGAAAGGCAAAGAAAATCGTCCGGGTGAACTGGGTTTGGAAAGGCCTGGGTAGGGCAGTGAGTGTGTGTGTGTGCATGTGTGTGTGTGTGGGGGGATGTAACAGGCACAGGCCGCTCCCTCCCTTCGAGGAAGTGGCCGGCACAGGTGCCATTGTGGTCTAAAAAAAGAAAAGGAAAAAGTCAGTTTCAAACAGCCCCTTCTCCGCTGTCCGCGCGCATCTTCTAGGTGGTTCTGCGGCTGGACCCGCTGGTTTTTCCAATTTTGAAAGAATTCAACGATTCTTTCACTGTGACACCTCTGCAGCCAGCGCAAGGCGAAACTCGAGAGTAACAGGTTCGGGGCAAAAGGACAGTGTTTCTGGAATTTTATAATTTTAGAAAAAAAAATAAAACCTTTAAACATCTCAACTCTATTTTGAAAGATAACGTAGCAGAGGAAAAAATAGCACCCAGAAGCCGCACATTTCACACATTTCCAATACAATAAGGAGCACTTGGGCAATTCCACGGAGATGTGGTCTGCAAAGCTTGCGTTTTAAAGGCCACCCGTAATCTGCAATTTTTAAAAAAGGCAAAACTCCGCGTGCAAAGAAATTTTCAAAGAGGAAAGGCCAAGGCTCACGTAGCCTTAACACCCCCATTCACCAGCTTTTGGGGTTCTTGTCAAGTTGCTATTACAGGGGACCACCGGCACCTGCTGTTTCTGACCTGTCCCCCTCTTTAGAGCACACCCAAGGCCACCAAAGGGGGACATTTAAATAACCTGTAGACCATCGCTGAGCACCTACGGGCCCCGAAGCGAAGCCTGGCCTCTGCTTTTTTCTGGAAGCAGAGAAAGAGGCAGCCTCTGGCGAGAGGTTTACCGCTCTTTGAGGTGCCAGGCCTCAGAGGTGTTCCCTCTCCTTCCTCCGACTGCAGCGTGACAACCCCAGGCCCCTGGCCCTGAACATCCAACATCCAAACCAGGACCCGGCGCCCTTTGCAAGCGCCTGGCGGGCGCGCCCTTACCTTGCATGGCCTTTTCCTGGTCGGCGCGGCTGGCCAGCGGGGCGGGCAAGCTCTGCGCAGCTCCCAGCAGCCGCATTTTGCACGGGCTCCTCCGGCCCAGGATGCTGTCGATGCAGTAGGAGGAGAGCAAAGTTGGAGATTTACTTTTACACTCGGGCCTCTCGGAGCAGCCCTCCTCCTGGTACTGATTGCTCATGGCTGGGTTTTTCTCCCCTGGGTGCAGAGAGCGGGCCGCTGGCTGCCTCTCCCGGCGGGTGGGATGGATGGGTGTGTGCTGGGGGTGTGGTTGGAAGGGCGGGTTGGAAGGGCTAGTGTCGCGATCTCTGTGCCTCTCTGCCTCTCTCGGACGCTGGCTGCCGGCTCCCGCCCTGCCCGCGGCCCGAGCTCGCCCTCTCGGCGCTCAGGACAAGCGGTAACAAGTGTAGTGAGCGGCGGGCGCGCAGCTCGGGAGTCTCTCTCCTCCACGTGCTGAGAGGCGCGCTGTGATTGGCTCTCGCCAGAGGCCGGGCTGCGCTGGGCGGCGGGCTCGCCGCAAAGCCTGGACCGGATTCCGGAAAGGTCGGCAGAGGTGGGGGCAGCGGCGCTCCCCGGAGCCGATTTCTCTTCTCCTTTTTCGCTTTTAACTAAACACTTTCTAAGTTCCCCACCCTCCGCCCGCCGCTCCCCCGTTAACCCTTTAGGGCGGGCCCGACTCTCACTGCTTTGGACGCCAGGCGGGTGGATGGCCCTCGGGCGGCGAGCACCCTGGCCACCCACGGGAGCCCCTCGCTCCCGCAGGCCGGGCCTGCCACCTGGCTCCGACGCCCTGGGCACTCGGCACCACCGGCGTCTGCGCTCCCAGGACGGCGCCTTGACCTCAGGGCTCCTCCGCCGCCGCCCTTGGTAGGCCGGACGGTCCTCAGAGGCGCCCGGGTGCCGGCCTCCAGCCAACCTCCGCCGCCCGGCCGCCGTCCCCTTGGGGCCGAGAGCCTTCGGCCGGCCGTCCTCACCCCCGAGCCGGGCCCTCGCTCAGTTGTTAGCAGCGTCCGCGGGCCTCGCGTCTCCGACTTGAACTCTGGGGAAAGTCCCCTGAGTGACAAAGCTCTGCCCGAGGCGCGGCCTTTCCCTGAGCACCTGCAGGGTGGACGGGACCGGGGCGAGCGTCCGCCGGGGGCAGGGGAGCTGGGGACAGGTCTGGGGCTCCTCCCCCCCCCCCGACCTGGTTCCCTCTTGTGTCCACTACTTCATCTCAGTCAGGCCGTCACCCTAGGGCTGGACACCCCCACAGAGCGCCCGGGGAGAGGAACCTGCGGGGTGGGCGTGGGAGGGGGGAGGAGAGGAACCTGCGCACCAGGTAAGAGGGACCCAGCTTGACTCCAGGCAGATCTAAGCGCCCCGGTTTCGGAATTCTCACGCCCTGGCTCCCCTTCGCCAAGGTGCGAGCGCCGGCCCGCGGGAGAGCGCCTGCTGCCTGCATCGCTTCCCGCCGGCCCGGCGCCGAGAGCAGACACCCACCTGGCGCTGAGGCCGGCCGGGCGCCCGCGAGAGGCCAGCACCCGAGCACCCACACCCCCCTCGCTCGCGGCCGGGCCCCAGGGACGGCCCGGCGCCCGGACGCTGGCGGGTGGGGGCGGGGGGGGGTGACGGGTGGGAGCGGGGTCGGGGAGGGGGAAATCCACGCCGGGTTTTCCTCTCTCAACCCCTTCAATGTGTCAAAGAGAAAAGCGGTTTACAAAGGATTATACTTGAATCACTTACAGTCCGTATTTAAAAATACAAGGATGCATAACTGGGATATTTTTCCAGCCGTAAACATCTGCATCGGTCTTGGGTGCTGGTGGGTGGGAGGCAGACAGATCGGGCCGGCTTGGCAGGGACGTTTCAGAGACAAGTTGAGGGGGACGGCGGGTTGGGGACGTGCGCATGAGTGTGGTCAGCGCTGGTGCTGACAGCAGGGCTGCAGCCCAAGGCAAAGGCTGTCTCTCCCGCGCTGCCCCCCCCCGTCTCTCTGCGTGTCTCTGTGTCTCTCTCCTTCTCTCGGTCTGGTTCTCACTTTGCTTCTCCCCCGTTTTCCCTATACTCGGAGGATGGAGGTGGGGGGCGGAGGAGAACCCCGACCGCCTCTGATTTTCCACTGTCTGCTCAGCCCTCTCCGCTGGCCCACAGCACCTGGGCTCTCCTCCTGGCTCCCCCGCCTTCTCCTCTGCCCGCCTCACCGAGAGTTCGGTGTTTTCTATTGTCCCGTTCGGCTTGAAACTCATGTTCCGCGCGCCCATTCCCTGCCCCCCTCCGCGTCTGGCCCCGAGAGCCCACTCCCCGCGCGCGGGCCCCCGCGCAGCAAGAGGCGTGAAGACGCGCGGGTCTCGGCCGAGCCTCCGGCCCCGGATCCTCGCCGGCGTCCCCGCGGCTGGTTGCCGGGAGAGACGAGGCATTTTTCCCTCCCGGGAGGGCCCCGCGTCGGAAATCCACAAGACCCGGCTGCCGGGCGGCTCCGTGACTTCAGAGTCGGCTCCGCACACGCAGAGAGTGGGCTGCAAACGAGTCCAAAAAAGATCGTGTTTAACAAAAAGAATCGCAAACGCACACATCATTTGTGAGAGCCTAACGGGGTTTCGACGCCCGGTGGAAGATTTCTTTGCCTCCGGCCCCCACCTCCCCCTTCCGCAGCTGTTCTCCTTTTTAAAAGCGAAGTCGGACTTTCTGCTGGGGTGTATTCTAATTTTAATCATCCACTGTGAAAGGGCAGGTTGACATAGAATTTCTGATTCTGACTTAATGACCCCTGGAATTAAAGCGAATTCTATTAATGGAATATAAAGCGTTTCTTTGGGAAGCCTGTATGAAAACACTAGCTCTATTTGTGATCTTATCTTGTTTATTCTTGGTATTTTTTAATCCATCTCCCCAAGTGAGGACGCCATTGGGAAGGCACGTCCACTCACTTCGGGGAGACCGGCCTGGCCCTGCTCCCTTTACACCCAGCAGCCCTGAAGTGGTCTTTGTCACAATTCAATACCCGACTTCGAAATCAACCATTGACTTGCTGTTCCTGAAAGATTAAAGTAAAAAAAAGAGAACTTGTCTGACCTAGTCCTGCAGAGACAGAATCCGCTGGCCTCTCCATAGCACCTACTTAGAACATGGGTTTAAGATGCGTGTGTGTTGCCCTATGTGCTATTTTAGAAAACAAAGATGATGCCTCTGATATCCAGAAAGGGTTTGATTTGTTGAGCAGACTTTTCAGAATTGGGCTGTGTAGGAAAGAACTTCTAGTTCAGCCAACTGAATATTGACTCTGTGTGCAAAATGACATCTCGCTCTCTTTTCACTTCACTTTCTTCACTTTCTTTTACCCACCAATCAAAAGTCATTTCATTTTAGTGATACTACCAGTGTCGGTTGTACTTTGCTGTTCACAACTCCTGTTTCCTCTAATCTTTGAGGTCTGTCACTGTTGGCTTTCTTTTCCTGGGGACCTGGAAAACAACAGTTTGCAGTTCATCTGTTTTCCAATCAATCATTAAAGTAAAAATGACAATTACGGCCAGAAGTGGGGGTCAGAAGTGTTTAAAACTGTTGCTTTCAGTGAAAAACGAGGCTTGTCCCCAGGACTGGAAATAATAATTACCTGGAAGAGGCGAATGGAAGAAACCCCTTTCTTTTCTGTGGTGAGAGCTAATTCTACATTGTAGCTTCAAAATTATATTTGCAAGAAATGTGGGATAAGGGGGTGGCAGTTAGATGTCATTATCCAGGGGGAAAAATGTTTGGAGGAGAGTTAACCTTGCACACTTTTCATTTGAGATGTTTTAATTTATTGTGCAATATACATACAGATAAATAAAGCTGTAATGGGCTTCCAGCCGCACCGGACCACTCAGGTCCCCTTAAATTATGGTCAACCTCTTCAAAACATATATTTAAACAATAGAAATAAACTTCATTGGAGTCTGGCGACCAATTTGGAAGCCATTGGAAGGGAAGACAATAAGTCCTGATTACACGCGAGGATTCTCTGTGATGTGATATCCCCTTTGCCAAGTCATTTTGCTGTTTTATTTATTTAATTTCTTTTTTTTTTTTAACAAACTTTCATTCATTTATGGTCTTCCGCAACCTGCTAATTTAACACTGGAGCGCGTTATTGCAGTGTTAGGAGGAGAGAAAGAGGGAGAGAAAACAACAATACTGCAATGATCCAAATGATACAGTAGAATTATAGCAATTATAGTTCTACTTGTGGAAGAAAACCTTGCTGAGATCAGGCAAACAAACTGAAGCCTTGTGAGGATAACAAGCGTCGGGATTGACAGCCGGTGCTGGGAAGAGCCGGAGGGCACAAACAGAAATATTTGCCTCCCCCCCACCCCCCTTAACTCCAACCAGTCAAGGTTAACCTCCTCAAATGCAGCTCGCAGAGTCTTATCCACTTCAGGGGGTGCATTTTAGGCACCAATCGAGGTCTCTCCTCCTGGAAGTCTGGTAATGGGAGGGAATGTAGCCTAATCCGCCTGGCTAGCACTTGGCCCTTGCCTCCTCTGCCCCCGGCTTGCCCTCCACTCCCCACCCCTGCCTCAGTTCTCCCTCCCGGCTGCTGGCATCTGGTCGTGGACGGTGTGTGTCTGTTGAAGTGTTTTCAGAGGAGCGCTCCTGGAAAGGTCCAGAGGGACTGGCGACTTGCATTTCTGGGGAACACTGCTTCCCTCTTCGCCCAGTCCTTCGCCTGAGCCGTGGGTTCCGCCGTCAGGGCTCGGCTGGGAGAGGTTTGTGGGGAACCAGCGCTCTGGGAAGCGTCCCGAGGACCACGGCCGAGCCCTCCAGGTATGGACGTGTGGGTGTGATGCTTGTGTTAGGGCATCTCCCCCCCATTTGCAAACTTCAGCACTTCAGGTTTTCCCGTCAGCAACCAGGAAGGGGGGCGGCGGAGCGAGAACTCGAGAGAAAACAGATTCCCCGCGGCCCCCCACCCCCAACATCCATCCAGGCGGCCAAGCGAGGCGTTTACAAGCTTAGCTCCCAGCACAAAGCGGGGCGAGATGGCCGCAGCCTCACCTCTGCCCTCCGAGGGCGGGCTGTGTGTGTGGGGCCCTCCCCGGGTCCCCTCTCACCGGCGAGAAGCAAGGGGGTGGGTTCTCACACTGAGTCCCTCGGCGGGAGCCCCCCCCCAACTCCCCTGCGCACCTGTCCCCCTAGGTTTCCACACCCAGGAGAGAAACTTCTGGGCGCCCTGTCATCATCACCATCTGGTTTCTCCTTTCCCAAGTCGGACGGCGGGGCCCCCGGGGGCGTCCAGGGTCGAGGTGTCCCGGGTGCCGCCGTGACTTTGTAGCTGCTGCTCACCCAGCCCCGGGACGTGTTGGGGGGGGGGGCACGGGTTGGAGCTCCGGCCAGGAGCCGCGAGGGACCCCAGGCCCGAGCGAATCCCGAGGCCCTGCCGG